GTGTTTCATGTGTCATCTCCCATGATTGGACTCTGAGAACATAGATGATGAATTTCTGTGTTGGTTATTTCCCAGGTGACCCAGATGGGAAAAATGGGAAATTTCCGTGTGTTTCATTCACATTTATCTGAGTTTAAACAGAAATGCTAAAGCCAGCAGTGGTGTTTCTACAGAGATGGATAATGTCATATGTTTGCTTTGATGAGGTCATGCACTGAGTCATTGTTTGCTTTTAAGATCCCACTGTTTAACATAGACACACATGTCATAATCTGTATATAGTTTCAGATCTAATCACAAAGTAAAACTAACAATTACAGAAAATATAATATATGTATATTTCTTTACTCTAGTGTGAGTTCATGGGAGAGGATTTTGGGATACAAAACATGGCTTCATTATATAAAGAATTGGGAGGATGATGAGGTGTTACCACATAAAGAGAATGAATGCTTTCTTTACAGACAAAAATGAAGTCTGTGTACTGAGACAGACAAACTTTTATGTAAAAGCATAAAAATTCACTTGTATATAAATGTGTGTCTGTGTGCTAAAGGATCCCTGATATTCACCAACATGTAGGTGTGACCACACCAGATCAGGTGACCACATCTCAGAAATCATCAGGGATGACCTCACACTGCACATGCACAGAGCCATCAGGAGCTTTCACCACCATGCCACATACCCACATCCCAGTCAGATTCACTTTCATTCAGGTGTAAAGTTTTACTTTAAAGGATGTTTCACAGTTATTCCCCATACTAAGGCTAGAATCTAAATTATCTATGAACCCAGGTTGAACCATATTATATACCTCTTTCCACATCTTATGAGCACAGTTGGTCGTGTCTCACACACACATATCACACCTACTGAAGCATACATGGAGGTGGCAGCTGCCAGTTTCAGTCAATGACATCATCATCCCCAGGGTGGTAGCTTGACAGTCGCGAGAGGTGTAGTTTGCACCTGTGAGCCGGGGTCTTAAACAGACTTATTGAATACTTAAAAGGGGACACTAGAGTACATGCAATATACCGTGTATACTGTTGAAAGTTTGGTCTAGTTGGTGCCACATCGGCATAGAAATAATGTTAGAAATGTACCCAGAAACCAACTGAAATAATAGGCGTATGGGTGGTACGTACTTAATTTTTTTCTGGTGAATCAGTATGACAAACTCTGACTCCTGCTCACAGTGCTGTCTTTTTAAAGAGAGATTTCGTAATTGCCATTTCCTGTATCTCTTCAGCTCCTCGTTACTGAAGAATTTACTGTTAACTGAAGATGGCTCGTACCACACTCCTCTTGTTTTGTGTGGGTCCTCCCAGAGTGGACACCGTGAGGGGACCCAGACTGTGCTTCAGGAATGTGGGTCCATTTTTAGATTTGTGTCACAGACCAGTACACACACACATACTCCCACTCAGCACTGACCTTGTCACTGGTCAGCAGCAAGACAGGGGTCAGAGGGAAGTTGTATGTCACTTTTTTGCACAAACTTTTACCGTAAAGCAGGAGAGCGTTTCCCTTATTTCATAGATATCTTCTGTTGCCAAGCTACCCATCAGTTATCTTTCATTATGTGTGTGTGTGTATACAAACTGTTCCTTCAGAGGAGCATTGACACCAAGTCCATGCCCTAACTTGCAGCCTTGTCTCCAACCTCGTTTTTCTTCCACTCCTTACATATTTTATAACAGGGTCAGTTAGAAGTGTACAGGGACTTCTGACTCTCTTGCCCAATCCCTTCATTTTTTTTCTCTTTCAGGGTCAAATGTTATCCTTTTTCTAGCTCTGTGTATCTCATTTAATAGAGTTTCATCTTTTATGCATCTTGCCTCTCATGTTTGTTGTTTATTCTCTGCTGTGACGCCGGTCTCCAGCTCCTTTAGAGAGACCTGGGTGCAGCAGGATTGTAGCATTTGGTGTGCTAGTGCTACCTTCTGTCCCTCCATCCCTCTCTTGCTTTATATCTAATCCTCCCTCAAGTTTCCGTCTGATCCCCCTTCTTGGCATTCCTTTCCCTGGCTTCCTCTTCTGTTCCTTCATCCCTTGTTTTTCCTCTCTGCTAGTGGCATTCCTTGTTTACCTGCAGTGTGCATGCGTCAGAGAGCCTGGGCCAGTACTGTAATAGTAGTGATGCTGTAGCACTGCAGAGGGATGAGGGATCTGTACTACTGCTGCAGTCTGACAGCAAGTCCCAGCCCTGGGTCGTTGACCTCCAACACTGCAGCAACCTCCATGTGTTTCACATACTTAGCCAGATGGGTAGTTTTTAGCATCTGGTGTAATATTCTTCTATCTGTTATGCCATTTATACTTTCTAACAAATCTAGACATTTCTTTTCGTCTTATAAGGGAATAAGGTGAGATCTAATTTATCAAAAAATAGTCATCAAAATGGCATTTAACTGTCACTTAATTTTATCATTTGCAGCAAATTTATAGATTTTTTCCTATATTGTGGTAGTACCACCAAACCTGTGAAAATAAAATGTAATGCAATTGCAGTGTCTGTGGTTGTTTGAGAAAAGCATTTAATTATGATGTTTTCTATGTAATGCATGAACACAGTAGTTTCACAGACAGCGACAGTATTTCCTTTATGAGATTCATTCCATGTTTTCACATTAGAAAGTAAACCTTTTAGACTGCGCAGCTGATAAACAACACCAAAGTGTGCATTGAGCGGTGTGTTTATATTTGTGTTAACGCACGTTTGTACGGTTAAAGGCCTGTAATCCTCAGGCACTGAGATCAGACTCCCAAATTAGATCTGATCCCATTAGGATTATTAGCCAAAATATCCAGGGTTAGTTAGGATGAAGGATGCAGGGAATTTAAAACAAAGACAAAGAGACGCAGGGCAAATAACAAATTGTGCATTGTGGCCAGTTTAATGCTAAAACAGGAAATCATAGAAATGGTGCACTTTAATTGCGGTTAAATTAATGCTAATCACCTCTGGGCTCTTTCTTTTTTTGATCTTAATCTGGTTGATATTTTGTACGTGAGTGTATACTGGGCCAGATGGCCTCACAGCTGCATTGCACACAAACCATGATCTTATTATTTTTGCAGCGTATTTTAGCAACAGTTGTTTATTGCAACCACTTTAGGTGATATAGATAAGAAGTCTAAATATCGCAATGCTAATAAATAGAATAAAAAGAAACCAGGGTGTTTGCAATTTTCTGATGGTCTGTGTTGCAGATTATTTATGAAGCTGTTAACAGTAGGCTGCTTGTCGCTATAAGATGTTAACCAGCACTATTTGTCAGTGTCTTTTTTGCAATCCCATAATATAGGTCTGGTTACTTCCTTCACATTGGATGAACTATTTATAGAATATCACATCATGTATGTTGTTGGGGTTTTTTTTTTGCAGATATTGATGTTTGCTGCCATGTCGTGCATAAAGCTCATGTAAATTTCACTGCAGGTTCACACACATCAAGTGTAGGCTTTGCTGTAAATAACCACTTCTAAATGGTTCCCTGTCATAAGTCATTTGAGAGCTTATAATGGGTAGTCTGTTTTATAAACGAGACCTCAGGTTTTCATTCTTTTAGGTCAGTATTGGTGTTGGATGCAGGCAGGCTTAGCTAAATCAGCCTTTATTAAGCCACAGTGAGATTTTAGCATGCTTCAGAGACTGACCTTGTCCTGTCTAAATCACCTGCCTGGCAGTCTTCCAAGCCACTCTGCTACAGCTGCTCTGTAAGCAGAAACATTAGCAAACGCGCTCCAGGTGCACTGTGGAGCTGTGTATATCATGAGTTGTCATCGCCATTGTGCCTTCATGTGCACAGAGAGCAAAGAGACATTGAGGAAGTGGAAGCTAGCAGATATTCAGCGGCACTTTGCACATGAGGATGCTGTGCTTTTGTTGTTTACTGAGGTACACAAAGAATTCACGACCCGTCTTGTTTCATTGTCGCCGCTCTCCGTCTTCTGTTTCATCTCCTAAATTCCTTTTTTGTCCCCTTTTTTCTTTTTCTCAATTTTTGTCTCTATTGTTCACTGACCCGAAGTGTAGTTACCCCCACACCTCACCCCAATCCCCCTCCATCCTTTTCTCCCTGTAGCTGGCCCTCCTTCCCGCTCCCTCTCCCGTCTCCTGTCCAGTGGCGGTTCAGTGAGGTAGTGATTCATAGCTGCAGTAGGCGCTGCCTGATGGTCATGTGACCAAAGCCTGCCTGACAACATGGAGAATGAACACAGTCTGGCTAGTTTGTGTGCAGCCTCATGCACATGCTCCCTCATGCAAACACACACACGCAAAGAAATACTTTGTCGCATCAGCGCATGCTCACATCCTCTCATCTTTCTCCCAATCTGACATAAACAGCATCACTATGAAGCCACTGGATGTCCACGCCCTTCGCTATGCAGCCAGCTTTCATGATTTTATCCTCTATCACTGCAATCATCCTTCTCATATTTGTCCAAAACAAAACATTATAACTGAACAGTGCAATACCCTACCCTAATGCAATATTCATAGACCTGTGCATTATCTTATAACTATAAGCACGCGCAGTGCTTGCTGTTTACTGTTGCAGTCACAGGCATCAGTAAAAGTTTATTGTCAAAACACCCAGTGGTGTGTTTGTGAGTTCCTTTTTATTTCTTTTTTATTTTTGTTGCTTCTTCCTGGAAAATGTGAAAGCAGCACAGAGGTCAGGTGTTTGAGGAAACAGGTTTGGTCCTTGCCGCAGCTCATTTACCATCACTGCGTCATCAGAATGCCCTCTTACAATGCCTGGGTTTACTCATGAGAAAGAAAATATTCCTCAAACCCCGCCCACAAGTTTGAATACATGCCATAGATTCAAATGCTGGGGTTGTCCCAAGTCCCAAATTACCCAAGATGCCAATTAGATAGAAATTCCATTTTTTTCTAACTCCTACTTCCTTGCTGGCTTTGACACAAGATATTTTTGTTGTATAATCAATTCTCTTCTCTTCCTTGTTGTTTATCTTCTGTACAGGTTGAGCTGGGCAGGAAGCAGGAAGTGGTGGTTTATGACCAGAGTTCCAAAGAAGCAGGGCATCTGTCCAAAGATGGTTTTGTGCACATTCTCATGGGAAAGTTGGAAGGCACCTTCCACAAAGTCTCCCTTCTCACCGGTAAGACATGTGTGGTGTTGGTGGTGGTGCAAAAGAAAAGGGGAAAGAGCAGACTTTGTATATCTCAAAGCCTGTTTTCCTTTGTGTGTGTGTGTGTGTGTATGCACTGCTATTTATTGTAGCCCGAACAGGTGCACTGTTGTCGTTGCACAGTTTGATCAGCAGATGTCACTCATGAGAACAACAGGACAACAATGTAGCCCTTAGTCAGTTCCCCATTTCTTAACACTATACTAGTGTTCTGACTTCGTGGTGTAAGGTTTGCAGGTATGTGTGAGCACAGGAGGGAGAGGGGAAGTAAACTCCCCTGCACTCTTCCCCTTACCCAGCATCTCTGCAGTAACGGTGAAGCTCAACTTTCAATCCTCTGGCCTTATTTATCACAGTTATTACCCTGTCGTAGTGTCCACTAAGCACACTGAGATTTATAATTGAGCCCCACCAAGACTGTTAATAGTCGTTGAGTTAATAACATCTTGATTGTGGTGGCTGCAGCTTTTTAAGGGATGATATTACACACACACATATCCGCCCGCCGAGGCTTATGAATCTGTCCCAAATATGTCAGTGCAGAATGGGGAGTGTAATCTGCCTCAGTCAGGATTTGAAACGAGGCAGCGGAGGCATGCTGCTCTTGCAAATCTCGGCTCTTCTCTCTGCATCCCCATTCTTCTCCTCTTCCCTCCGCTGGGAGATTAGTGCTTTTTTCATGAGTCATTCACGGATGCCTAGGATTGCCTGAAAGCACACAGCCTCTACAATTTGTCACAGAAGTGTACTGAGCGCATGCTTTGGGTGGACACACCCGTGCATACAAAGTGCATACACACGACCGCGTTTGATGCCTCACACACACGAACACAAACACACACTCTCTGATTGCTGAAAAGCCGGGATTTTGTTAATACTGAAGGACCCCCTGTCAGCAGCTCCCTCCTCGTTATCAATCTCGGCTCGTTCTCGTTGTGTTTCTTCAACAGAGGAAGAAAAAGAGGAATCACACCTCTTCCATTTTTGTCCCCGCTTTTCTGCTGTTTCCACGACAACAGTGGCAGAGAATATTCTCCTGTAGGACTCAGCCAATGGCGTCCGCATTTGTTTGGGTGGTTGTAATATTGGGGTCAGTGGAGCTAGCAGCAGCGTTGTATACATAATATTTGTCTGTATTTGCAGTGCATGCATGCAGGTGGGTGGTGTTGCATGCATGTGCCTGCATGCATTATGACGTTATGTGAACGATTGCTGTGGGATCTGCTTATGTGGGGAAAAAAGCATCAGTGTGAAGGTGTTAGAGATAAGAATAGGATATGCTTGTCAGGATTTTTAAGTGTTGCTGTTAAGTTGCCTTTATTAATGTGACAATGTTTATATTATAATTGGGGATGACGGGCATTCTTGTTCATTGCGCCTGCACAGTTTGCAGCAGCAAAGTGCCTGGTGTCTAAAAGGACACTTGTCTTTTCTGTTACAAAAACCCCCCACAGTGGTACAATGTGTGATTTGTGAACAAACTGAGCCCAGAGAAAGTTCAAAGGTCAGGGGTCACGATGTGCCATCTTGGATCTCGAACTCTTCACAAAGCATGCAAGAAAACAATTTTTCGAAATGGGCCACTGGTTTGACAGAATTACTCATTTGAAGATGTCACACTTGCCTCCTAAAAACCAGTAAAAAGTTGCTCACCTGGTTTTGTGAATGACCAAAGGCCACCACACGCACTAGCCTTTCCCAGCCATTCCTCCCACTCACTCACTGCTTTCCCATCCACTCTCTGTACTTTACTGTTAAATAAAAGCCGAAGATGTCAAAAATGAAACCCACCCAAAATAAAGTAATGGATTAAATAATGAGTAAAAACGTATGCTTCTTTTTGTCCATCCTTTATTTTTTTGTCCTGTCTCCGCCTCCTCATTCTTGACTTTAATTGGCATTACTCCCGTCTCCCAAATTTAAAAAATAATCCCAGTTCACACCTCCCTCTCCGCCCACCTTATGCTTTTACACCTCCCTTCTACTGAACCTCTGATTTATGCTACTAATAATTCCCGTGGTGACCTCATATCTGACTGAGGACTTATTTTCAGCCTCACACCAGACGTACACACTACGCAGAGTGTAGCACTGGTGCAAATCCAGTGAGGGGTAATGTGGGTGGGTAAAGGAGGGAGAAATGGATTGCGAGATGAAAAGAATCCATAAATGGGATGAACAGGGTGAATTTGAGAATAATTATGAAGCTGCCTGTCTGAGGGGAGGTTGATTTTTCTACCTTAAATGTCAGTTATGCAGACGCTTGCCAGAGGGAGATTAAGGCAACATTTCTGAAAGGGATTTATGTTTTTTGCATTTTTAAACCTAATGCTTATTGACGTAAATTTCCTTTCAACTAGGGGAAATAAGACAGGAGAAGACAGGAGATGCCAGATAAGCTGCCTGAATGAAATGTTACACAATCATAATGAATGCTCTGGGAACATATTGATCCCAAAACAATCTGTGACCCCTCTCAGGTTTCCACCATTCAGTAATTGATCAACTGGAAAGCACACCATGTCGTTACATGTGGAAAACGTCATACTGGTAGCATTGTCCCAAAAGGGCAATTGTTTTTGTGAATGAAATGACTAATGCAGATTCTCACCCTGTATTAAAGAATGCATTCACGCTGGATGTAGTTGTACTTGGAGAGTGTCCTTGTGAATCCATGCAAGCACAAAGGTTAAGGTTATGCTACTTCATTGATTGCGTGAAAGTGTTTGTGAGAAACATGCCTCTCTCAGGACAGCTGTATTTTTAACACAGTGGTGATCTCACCCAGTTGGAGCTCAAGCTGATGCGTCTTGCCTTTTTCAGAGTTCTGATAGCGTGTGTGTGTGTGTGTGTGTGTGTGTGTGTGTGCAGAGGGAGAGATCATCACTTGGTTGGAGCCAGCTGCCTCCCCAGTGGCTCTAAAGTTTGTGCATTTCCCACCAATCTGCAAGCACACAGCCAAATTGGAGACAACGCTGAACACTCCCTGCTAGTGTGGGGCTAGGTGGTATGTTAGCCGATGCCAGCTGTGTCATACGTCACAGCGGCCCCGCTATAGAACTGACAGCATGAAATGTTTTGCTGCCGTGTTCTAGTTTCAGCAGTCTAATATGCAAGACAGAATAAAAAGAGAACTTTCAAAAAGGCTACTCATGAGCTGTGGATGAAAAGAGAGTTGGGTAGTGTTTTCAAGTGGAAGGGAGGTGGAGATAAAAATAACAATATGTTTTATTCATAGCACATTTTTTTCCTTTTTTTTTTCAAGTACTTTAAGTTGAGGGGGTGACAGCTACAAATTAGGAAATTAAACACATGCAAAAATAGCATTATAAAAGCACCATGACAGCATTTGGGTCATAAAGAGGAAATGAAGGTGCGGGAACATGCAGATGTATATGTCATCCGTGTAATGTGTGAGTCTACAAGAGTTTTCTAATGTGTGAGACTCCTTCTAATCTTTTCTTGCACCATCTGCCAGTGTTTTTCGTGGGATTACTAAAACGCCACACCGTTAGGTCAAAGGGAAAAAGGAGAGAAAAGGGACACCAACTGAAATGAGGTAGTGACAAGGGACATGTCTAAATAGTCTATAGTGGCAGCACTTGACTGCACTCATAGTGCAGAGGTAATCCTGAAACAGTTATGTGGCCAAAGGAAAATAAAGTTTTGCAGTGTATTAATCCTAAATTTGAAGTGTTTGCTGCCTTTTCACTCTCATATAGCTTTTTAAAAAAAATTGTACTATTTCGCTACATAGGTGAATTAAGAATATTCACTGACATGTTCAGGGCGATGATGTCAGTGAATATTTGAGTGATTTCACAGATGAACAGGCCTCGTCAGGTTTGTGCTGTTTCACATTCCGTTGAAGACACACACATCAATCAAACTGCGTTGTTTCACAATAAAATGTGACAAAATGAGTTATGCTACTCTAGTATTGCATGACAGTTTTAAGTGTCCAGTAGATGGACAGTGTTGTCCCTGATACAGAGTCCTATGAACTGCATTGAAAAGAGTTCATTTATATACTGTAGCATGTGATCTGGGGCACAGTTTTTGATTTTTTTTTTCTGTCTCCCACGCAAAAGCACACAAGAGACAAGGCAGTGACATACTGATGGGAGGTATCAGGAGATGAAAGGTGCCTCTCTCTCATTTTCTTTCACTTGCACTTTCTTTGTCATGCACATTGTAAATAATGCAGCCACATACAGGAGCTGCTGTGTTCCTCTGGGCTTTGATGACTTCAGGTTAGGGTGTTATTGCACAGACACTGGGGTACAAAGGTCAAGTAAGTTACGGCTCTTTCTCGTGTGCTGTTATACAACAGTGTGGGGAGTGTTTTTCATGTGTGTGTGTGTGTGTGTGTGCGCGTGTGTGTGTGTGTGTGCAGACATTAGAGAGAAGCTGAAGAGGTGAGGTAATCATGGGAGGCACAACCTTACAATGCAGCCGTTCAGACATTCCAATGAGCTACATAAGGAGGTCTGTTTGTGAGCATGCATGTTTTTGTGCGTGCATGAATATGTGCATATAAAGCAGAGCACGAATGAGTATGAGGCAATGTTTTGGAGTATTTGTGTGAGAAAAGACATAATAGACAAATGAGAGCAATTGAGGAGATGAGGTAATACTCCTTATTTCATCCTGAATGTGTGCGTGAGTATGCGTGTGCGTGTCAGAGCCTGTGTGGTCACAGAGCTCGCTCAGAGAGACAGGTCGCACTGCTCGGTGTTTGTGAGCCTCCACAGAAATGAAAGACTTTCTTTCCTTCTGGAGCCCAGCATGAAGTCTGCCTTTCTGAAGCTGAAGCCTGAGGTGAAGAAACTGCTACACACACAATTTACGCGGACACCTGCAGCGCGCATGTGTGTTTGAGATGCTTCAACAGATGCGGATCACCAGTTTTATGTGATCGGAAACTGCTAAAAATTTATCTGCTGTAAAAGTTTTATAGTTTTGCTTGG